GGGTTCGAAGGAACCCAGGCCTGCTGGGTTCCGAGGGGAGAGAGAAGGGAAAGGGGAAGGAGAAAGGGAAAGGGAAAGGGGAAGGAGAAAGAAAAAGAAGAAAGAAAAAAAAGAAAAAAGAAAAAAAAAATTAAATTTTATTTTTCATAATATTTTTTATATTATTATTTTTTCCACATCATCACTTTTTGACTATATTATCTTCCACGTGGATTATTCGATGACATGTCATCGTGTTCCCGTTAGTTAACAGCACACGTCACTAGATTTTTAACGGAAAGACCAAATCGGGGTAAAAATGGTAAACAGTAAGGACCAAATCAGGGATTTTTTTAGTTCAGGGACCAAATCGGGGGTCCGTACAATAGTTCAAGGACCAAAAAGGGGTTTTAACCTATTTTTTATGAATTCTCTTTAAAATTAATTTTGAGATAAAACTAATTTTGTGAAGATAATAAGTTCTTTTTTAGTATTAGAAAAATTGTAACTTTTATCACATATTATTTCATTTTTTTTGACAATTTTCTTTTATAATAAAAATGACAATTATTAATATATTTTAATAACTTTCACAATCTTCTGTGGATGGCTTTGTTAATTGGATTATTCTATTTTGATTTTAATTTAATTTTTTTGTTATTTTTCCATTAAAACTAATAAAATTTTTAAAACTTTAAAACATTTTACAAAATTTATTAATTAAAAAAAAAAAACCCAAATTTCTAAACTAGTTAGAAAGAAAACTAGGCTTTTAGGCTAAAATTGAAATGAGACCAATTATTGAATTAACCTATTTTGGAAGGATCTAATTACAAAACCAAACCCCTCCGCGCAATTATTCTACTTGAGTTGGTAGCCTCAGCCCAAAGGCCAGGCCTCCAAAAATTCCTCTAACCCAATTCGAGGTCTGACCTATAGAGCGTTGGCACGACCCGCCATCACTTCTCGGTCATTGACGAGTCATCCGCCACCCCTGACAGGACGAGTAAAGTTCTTCTGGTAACCGCACCGTTTCTTTATAAGCTTGTCTCAACCTATTCCTTCATCTGCTACCGATGTGGGATTGAAACCTTCCGTGCCCTAAAGCTACCACGTGAGAGAAATATATATTTTATAAATCAAAGATGAAATTTTCTTTTCTTTGAACCTCAGCTGAAACGATGAACGCCTTTTCCACAAATTAGCAAAACGCTAAAAAAATTATCTTTCACAATGTTGCAAAATTTGTTTGTAACCAGTGCCAGACTACTAGTAAAAGCAGAGAGTAAACACCCCACCACTCATTGATATTGTTTTCTCCACTACTAAAAGAGAACGGCCATAAGCAATAATTTTCTCTATGTTTTTTTTGATACGTCAGAGGAAATTAAGTTAAACTAAAACAATAAGAAACTAGAAACGGAGTAAAGAAGCCTCCAACTCATCCCCTTTAGGGATTGGCCGCAAGCCAATCGGTGGAGAATCCAACAAACTTATACACGGTTGTGATGAACGCTCAAGGGACGCTAGAAGTCAGCAACAGCATTCGCCTCCCAAAGAATATGTTGCAGTACGCATTCCTCAAATTCAGACATCAGGCTTCTAATATCCATCAAAATGGCTGCAGACAAATTATCTGGTTCTCTGTTCTCCATTATGAATCTAACTACCACAAGTGAATCCATCTCAGCCACAACACGAGCTATTCCAAGTGATTTGCATAACTTGAGTCCCTCCCTAAGACCCCATAACTCTACTATAAAAATGGATGCACAGCCAACATTAACCACAAAACCAGAGATCCAATTCCCTATGTTATACGATCTAACAGAAATTTTCTCTATGTTTCCAACAGAAATGTTATACGATCCAGATGGAACAAATGCGATAATTTCTTTTACTTTGATATTCAATCCTATGACAGCCCTTCATTACAGCTACAAGCTTCACCCTTTTCTAGTTCCATCAATAACAATTCCATAATTTTCTTGCACATTGGCATATATGATCATTAATCATTGTTCTGGAAAGTTGAATCTTACTGTACAATTCTCTAGGTGTCTCGTATATACCTACATTTTCTTCTCTGGGAAGTGCATCAGGATCTAGAATAGTGGTTTCAGTTGAAGGTCCAGAAACCATATGCATGATTCTTCCTAGGAGATAGAACCAGAGGTTCTCTGAAACATCCAAGGAAGAGATGGGGTCTTCCCTTCCTGCATCAGCCAGAACTTTCACCTCAGTTATTTCTTTTGCCGCTGCTGCTTCTTCTGCCTGGGGGCTTGGAGATCAACTTCACTCTTCTGCCTCTCAAGCTCCTTCTCTAGTTCATACCACAACTCCCCTTCAGTAATCTCGTCCATGGTGGTTGTAGTCATTACTCCATTCTCTGCAATCAGAGGCTCATCTTCGTCTGTGTCATCAGGCCCCAATCCCCGATGTGAATTATCTCCAATTCATTTTGTACTTAGTCTGTAATTACCACTTTAGTCACAAGGGTTTCAGAACTTCAGAACTTCTTCCAGTAATTACTGAAGCTTCTGGCAAGTCCTCCTCCTTGGAGTTCAATGCTGGGACCACATTATGGCGACATGGACCCATGCATGCAGATAGAGTCGAGTGGCTTCTTACAACTGCTTGAGTGACATTCTGGGCACCCTTCATCACAACCTGCAGTTCACAAACAAACAATTCCTAATCATAATCCTAACTGGAGCACCAAATGAAAAAAAAGGATAGAACGGGCATGCAGAATTTTTGTTGTCAGTAAGTACATGAGTACTTAAAAAACCAAGCTAAAGGGTCAAAACATCCCTTCAGCCCACATATACTTCTGGTGAGAATTTAACATCCCTTCAGCCCACACAAACACTTCTGGTTAGAATTTAACATCCCTTTAGTTCACATACACTTGTTAGAATTTGGAAAACCAATTAAAAAGTACTCAGTACAATTTGGAACAGTCTGATAGGAGAGCGTAGTCAATTATCAATGCTGCAGATGTATACCTTAGTAGTGCTTGAAACAGGACATAGGAGTGCACCAGCACCAGCAACTCTTGCCTTTGCACTAGCAATAGATGGCAGACTGGAGCCCAATGCTGTTGTAGAATGAAAAACAACACTCAGGAACCGAGTTTGTTGAACCTGGTCCCACAAATCATTTAACCAAGATGATGCTGTGACCAGATAACAACAATTGTGAGTAACAGCATTTAAAGAATAAACATATCTACCAGATAATGACTTTTAATTAGGAGAAGGATATTTTGCACCTCCGAATGAAGGTCATCAACAGAAGTAGCTGAGACAGTGGGCACAAGGTCGGATCCATTGATAATAGTCGTAATGAAGTGCTTGCCTGATTCTGCTAAATCCCATGTCATACAGGCAGCTGCAAAATGTAGCAAGATTCAATACAAACTCTTTCGCAAAAGGCATGCCTTGAGCAAGTGAAAACCATGACATTACTGCATTTTGCATCTTATCTCCATTCTTTATCTCTTGCAGCACAACAAAATTATAAGTAGTGGTACTAGTGAAAGTAGAAGTTCATGTGGACATTATTGACAGTTTGACAAAAGACCTTGGTTAAGAATAGGAATTGTATGAAAAAGCACACTGCCATGGAATAACATCGGCTGACCCATGATATGTAATTAAGCATATTGACACTTCTTACTTACGAATATTCGAGTCAATTTAACTTAAATGCTTATGTTGAGTTATCCTTCAGTAAATTTCCAGAAATACAAAACAATGACCAAAGAAAATAAAAGAAGATTCCATATCCTTAAAGATCCTTACCTGGGGCAAAAGTAACACAAGCACTAGAGGAGAACTCTTTTTGTTCACAAAGAATGTCTGTTAACAGTCCAGCAGTGCCACCACCAAGTGAATGCCCAACAATCTGAAACCAGACCAGATATGAGGCACACACACAACTTTAACAATCCTGTGTATCAGCTTAATAAATGCAATGTGACACCACTTGGAAAAAAATGAATGGTCATGCTCAGAGGCAGTACATTAAGAAAGTTCAAAAAATGCAATCTAACTACATTCAAACCCCATCTTGGAATTAGAAATGCATAATTCATCACAAAGAAGTGGAGAAAACTTGACATGTTTTTGTAACAAGACAAGGTGTTACTAGCAGAGAATATTGCTTTAAATTGATGAAATATAACAATTACCTTAATTTTATAGTCACAATATTCACCAAGAGCCTCAAGAAGGCATGGGGCACTGAGCTTTGCAATCCAACGGGCTGCAGCAACCATTCCACGGTGTGCATATCCTAAAACTAAATTGCCGATCCCACCATCATGTAAAACTGAATGATGGAAAGGAACCACAGCACCAGTTGCTGCTGTTAGTGTATCTTTAATGCTCTGAGTACCACAAATCAATAGAAGGAAACACTTTGAACTGTTATCATGGATGATTGTGAAAGCAGGCTTCAGAAGCTGCAATGTTTAGAAAATAAAATGAACAAACAAATATGTCACAATCATATTGCTTTATTATAAAAATTACATTAGACAATATGCTGCACAGTTTTATGTAAGTTCAATTTGGAAGAACTATCAATATGGGATGATTTAGAAGATACTTTCTTGGATTCCAACCTTTTATGCAAGTGTGATGAGCAAGAGGTATTTTATGGTTTCCCTTGTTTTTTCTTTCCCTCCACACCTAAGCCTGATGGATGTTTTTCCCGGTTTTTTGAAGTTAACATTATTCATTGAGTGCTTCTCTCTCATTTCATTTTCTTTTGGGTGATGATATTCCCTGAAAGAATACTTCAACGTGCTCACATGAAAACTCCTCATAAAGAAAACTGTTAAAAAATGTTACAGAGAACAACAACGATAAAGAGCATCAAGAAAGCTACTCAATAACAGATGTGATCTCAACTAAAAGATAAATCAGAAGAGTAAATGAGAAACGACAAAATAGTGCATGAATCATAGACTTCTGCAAAACTGCAACTATGGCCCAATTTTTGTTCATACGCTTTCTAACAATTTTGTCCTTTCTTTAGCAAAAAACCATAAATGACCCTATAGAGTTACCTACCCCTGCTTTGGGCTTCTGCCTTCTGAAGAAGAACATCATCCTCGGAGTAACCTGCAGATGCTAAAAACACTGGAAATGGCTTCTTCGAGAAAAGTATGCAAAGAGTCAGCAACCTCAGGAAGCTATTCAACTCGCTGATAATTTCAGGTCCCTTCAGCTCCACAGAATTATTTCCGGCATACAAACTGGCAACTTGTAAATTTCCCTGCAAGAAATAAACACAATATAACACCACAAGCGGACCAAGCCAAAGTTGCTTCAGTGAATTATACTATCAAACCAGGATAGAGACAACGAAAACTACTTTTCAAAAACAAACAAATTGATTAGTAACAAATATTAAACTTTTCAAGAAAAAAGCAGCCCACAGAATCGCAGTGAATGCCAAAGGCAATAAAAACAGCCTACAACAAGACCTTCTGAAAGCTTAAGCACGTACAGCTGAGTTAATTGGTGCGGGTTTTGATTACAAATCAATCAGCTAAGTGAACAACATTCAACCTTTCATAAGCTAGAAAATTCAGAATAACCCTATGATTGATGAATTAAAGCATAAAAAGCACCGACCTGCCTCCGCATGAGATAAGTGATGCCGAAAGCCAAGTCACAAATCGGCCATTTCCCGAGCGTCTCCGAATACGTAAACCTCAACGTCTCGGATAACCAAGGCCTCAAACCACGTCGCCGGAGCCTGAGCAGGCCGCCTCGCAATCCTCCTCTTCAACGATCTGCTCGATTTCGTCAACCCATCCTCCTCCTCCTCTCCCCCTCCCTTCGCTCCCAATCTCCTATTCCACACGTAGTAATGTATCACCGCCGCCGACGCCGTTGTCCCCGCAGCCATGATATCAGATCTCCCAAAACAATCAGCTCGGAACCGCGAAAAACACAATCAATCAGAGAAATTATAATTGTATTGGATAATCAATAAGAATATTTTTTTAAATTATAATTAATAATAATTTTTTACTTATATTATGTGATTTTTTTATAATTATTTTTATGATAAAATTATTTTATAAATTAGAGTATTTTTTGTATTTTATTTAAATTAAAAAATACTGACGTTTAAGAAAAATGATAAAGTTATTTTGACGACATGTAGGCTGTATTTGTTAAACAAATTAGAGAGTAAAGTGTCAAAGATTTTTATATTATATATTAAAAAATATGTTTTTAAATTTAAATTGCACCAAAATATATTTTTTGCGTTAAAGTAATTTTGTATTTTTACAATCTACTTTTTGTATTTTTTATTTTGAAACACTATGCTCCTATATATTGTAAATTGGAGTTTTAAGACTTTTTCAAATGATCAAAATTTAAGATTATTTCAATTTTATAATATAAAATCTAATATTAAAT